TGCTAGCAGCCACGTAAAACTTGCAACAAACAAAGTAGAGGATGTCTAACTTGTTTTTGCAGGGCATGTTGTGATGTGATATGGTCAAGACATGATGTGATATAAAGATTGTTGTATGAGATGATCATGTTTTATAAAAGTTATCGGCAACTGGCAGGAGCCATACGGTTGTTGCTTTATTGTATGAAATACAAGCGCTATGTAATTGCTTTACTTTATCACTAAGCGGCAATGATAGTCGTAAAAGTAATAGTTGGCGAGACGACCACGACGCTATGATGGAGATCAAGGTGTCAAGCTGGTGACGATGGAGATCATGACGTTGCTTCGATGATGGAGATCAAAAGCACAAGATGATGATGACCATATCATGTCACATATTTTGATTGCATGTGATGTTTATGTTTTATGCATCTTATTTTGCTTAGTACGGCGGTAGCATTATAAGATGACCCCTCATTAAAATTTCAAGGTATAAGTGCTCTCCCCGAGTATGCACCGTTGCGAAAGTTCTTCGTGCTGAGACACCACATGATGATCGGGTGTGATAGGCTCTACGTTCAAATATAACGGGTGCAAGCCTGATTTGCACACACAGAATACTCAGGTTAAACTTGATGAGCCTAGCATATACAGATATGGCCTCGGAACACTGGAGACCGAAAGGCCGAACGTGAATCATATAGTAGATATGATCAACATAGTGATGTTCACCATTGAAGACTACTCCATCTCACGTGATGATCAGACATGGTTTAGTTGATTTAGATCACGTATCATTTAGATGACTAGAGGGATGTCTATCTAAGTGGGAGTTCTTAAGTAATATGATTAATTGAACTTAATTTATCATGAACTTAGTCCTGATAGTTTTGGCATATCTATGTTGTAGATCAATGGACCGTGCTACCGTTCCTTTGAATTTTAATGCGGTCCTAGAGAAAGCTAAGTTAAAAGATGATGGTAGCAACTACACAGACTGGGTCCGTAACATGAGAATTATCCTCATGGCTGCACAGAATAATTATGTCCTTGATGCACTGCTAGGTGCAAGGCCTGTTGCAGCAGCAGAAGCTGACGTTGTGAACGCCTGCCAAGCTCGATCTGATGACTACTCGTTAGTTCAGTGTGTCATGCTTTACGGCTTAGAATCGGGACTTCAAAGACGTTTTGAACGTCATGGACCATATGAGATGTTCCAGGAGTTGAAGTTAATATTTCAAGCAAATGCCCGAGTTGAGAGATATGAAGTCTTCAACAAGTTCTATAGCTGCAAGATGGAGGAGAACAATTCTGTTAGTAAGCACATACTCAGAATGTCTGGATACCATAACCACTTGACTCAACTGGGAGTTAATCTTCCACATGATTGTGTCATTGACAGAGTTCTTCAATCATGATCTCCTCCGTATGAAACAGCTCAACCAGACAGTCACGTACTTTGACTTCTACATTTGACGGGTCGATCCTTGAGGGACTGTTCTGGAACACCTCCAACTCCCACTTCAATTTTTTAATCTCCACTCAGACATTCCCTATGTTCTTGCCGCTCCAGGACATTAGTGTTCTCGACAGACTCTACAATTTTGTCTTCAGCTCTGGAAACACCTAGCGGCACCATTTCTGGACTAAACGAATTAAGTGGCACTGATTATGGCAGCGGGCGCAACTGCATGTTTTTTTAGGGGAAAGCCAAACTTTATTCATCATAGTCCACAACGGGTGGGATACAACTCGAATCATGGGGTTGGCCCAACCAAAGGTGGCGCCCCGGACCGAGACGAAGTGAATATTTGGCTAATCTATGTGCTTTGACATTTGCAGCACGACCTTCAAAAGAAAAATTACACTAAAATAAAGTTGCTCTAAGATTAATCTCCTGGACGATTGAACCACTTTTTCCTCTTCCTCCACATGAGATGTCAGCCACCGTTTTCTTGGAATCTGAAGCAACAATGAAGGTGTGCAGGTTGAGGTCTTCCGCGAGCGCTAAAGCCTCTCTGCAGGCGATGGCCTCAAGTATCACTGGGTCCTCTAGGCCAGCTACCACCAGGGAAGAGCTGCCTAGGAAATTGCCTTGCCTGTCCCGACAAACGGCTGCTGCTGATCCACCTTTTCTTGCTCTTACTCCAGCATCCACGTGGATCTTGGCATAGCCAGCCAGTGGAGCTTTGGGGCGTACCGGCCGTGCCTGAACCGTGGCCTGAACTCCTCCCCTTGTCGTAGTACTTCTTACATTGATCATGTTGAGCTCATCTATGAAGCGCCTAACAAAGGAGTTAGTAGCTTGAGGTGATTGGAAAATTCCTTCATGAATTGCCTTGCACCGGGCTGTCCAGATTGCCCATAGTGTGGCCGAGAGCAGTACGAACTGATCATGCGTGAGCGACTGCAGGAAGGTGAATAGCCACTGCTTGGCATTGGGTTCTGTGTTGGATACTAGATTTTGAGCCAGCTCCTCATCAACAAGAGCCCATACACATCTCGAGCTAGTACAGTTTACCAAGGAGTGTCTCCATGAATCAGGAGAGCCACATAAACTGCAATAAGCATTATCTGCCATATGCCGATGAGCCCTAATGTCCTCTGTAGGAAGGGATTGCTTTGACAAACGCCAGAGAAACATCCTAACCTTTCCTGGGACCTGGGTCTTCCAGAGAGATTTCCATGCTCCTTCCTCCCGCGCGTTATTTGATGTGCCAGCTGCTCCCTCAAGCCATGCCTCACGACGTTGTCTTGTTGCTACAAGCATACGGTAAGCAGATCTGACAGAGAAGTTTCCACTTGATTCAGAATTCCAGCTCCAAAAATCTTATAGATTGCGGGTGCACACCGGAATCCCCAATATGATCTGATCATCCATGGGCATAAATACTTGGTTGACTAGCTGGATATTCGATGAAGCGCTCGTGTGGTCGATCAGTTCCGAGACCAGGTTCGGTGGGTTTGGGTGGATACTTCCATACGGGCGCAACATCTCATCTCTTGGTAGCCACTGATCTTCCCAGATACAAGTTGATTGACCATTGCCAATTCTACGAATGAGCCCTTGTTTCAATGTGTCCCTGCCTTCGATAATAGCTCGCCATATCTGACTTGGTTGGTTGCCCAGGGTCGCCTCCAAAATGGTCGAGTTATGGAAATATATGCTTTTCAGGACACGAGCACTAAGGGAATCTGGTGTTTGGAGTAATCTCCACGCTTGTCGTGCTAGCATCACCATATTGAACAGCTCAAAGTCTTTAAACCCTAGGCATCCCATTCCCTTTGGCTGCGTCATGCTTTTCCACGATACCCAGTGAGGTCTCCTTTTGCCATCTTTGCTCCCCCACCAGAACTTCCGAATAAGCATATTAAGATGCTCACATAAACCCCTTGGAAGTTTGAAGCATGACATTGAAAAAACTGGTATGCATTGGGCAACTGATTTGACTAGAACCTCCTTGCCAGCCGTTGACATGGTGTTTTCCACCCAACCCCGCACCTTGCTCCATAAACGATCTTTGAGGTATTTAAAGGCCCCATTCTTCGAGCTCCCAATATTTGATGGCATCCCTAAATACTTCTCATTTAAAGTTTCATTGGGTATATTGAGTAAACCCTTTATTTCAGTTCTGGTATCCTCTGGCACCCCCTTGCTAAAAAAGATTGACGATTTTGCGAAGTTCACTTGCTGACCTGATGCTTGACAATATGTATTCAGTACTAGGTTCACCTTAGCTCCTGCACTATTTGCCTTGCAGAACAGCAGGCTGTCATCAGCGAATAAAAGGTGGCTAACTGGTGACGCCGTAGGAGCCACTTGTACACCACCCAGATTGGATGACTCACTCTTAGATTTTTTAACAGGCACGACAGGCCCTCTGCTGCTAGCAAGAACAAGTACGGAGATATTGGATCCCCTTGTCTGATTTCTCTTGAAGGTTGGAATTCCTCCAGTCTCTTCCCATTAAACATGACCGAAAACTGTACAGTAGTGACCAGTCCCATGACTATGTCCACCCATCTCCCAGTGAACCCCAGCTTTACCATGATTGCTCTCAAATATGGCCACTCCACTCTATCGTAGGCCTTCATCATGTCTAGCTTCAGGGCAAAAGACTGATGTTTTTTGGCTTTATTTCTCTTCATAAAATGTAGGCACTCGTAAGCAGTGATGATGTTATCAGTGATTAGTCTGCCAGGGACAAAAGCGGATTGCTCCTCAGAAATAATATCAGGTAGTACCACTTTAAGACGATTGGGCGCAATTGCATGTGGATCCTGGCGAAACAAGCACGCGACCGAACGACGACATGACAGCGACAACAAAGCTCACCTGAAGTCAGCCCACACATGCGCACAGCCACACAGGAGGACACATGCAATCAGGTGAACGGGGATGGCCCACACGCTCCGAAAATAGCTAGACGCACACACGTTCACGTTAACAAAATTCACGAACGGAGACCTATAGTCACACACAATTCTACGCCATAGGGTCCCAAACAAATACACGTGTCTCCAATGGAGATAGGTCCTCAAGTCACATTCAACCAAGTGGTGAAACGTGATGAAGAAATCTTCGTTGGAAATTGTGGCTTGGGTATATGTTTATGAAGGGAGGGAGTACTAAACTTGTTTGGGATACAAATTCAATGGTACGGTACACTTCCTCCTGCTTGGGTTTACGTTATCCTACGACCGTTGTGGTGGGGTAAAACAAAAAGTGGCTCTTCGGCGAGGACGCAAGGTCAAGAAATCTTGTCACGCATGTTATCCTTTTCCGACACGACATAACAGGAGCAGAGAGAAGAGAGCGCGCGGGTGGATTTCCGCTTCCGTTTCGAAATCGAAACCGCTCGGCGCACGACCGATCGCTACAGGGGAGAGGTAACGGGCCGGGCCGGGCCGGGGCTATATACACTGGAGCCCTTCCTCCTGATCGATGAACGCGTACGGGGCTAGACAAAGCAATCTGATCCCCCTCGAAGTAGCAGAGTGGGCGAGATTATCCATCGATGGCGGCGCTCCGGCACGCGGGGAGGAGGCTCTGCGAGCGGGCGCTCCAGCGAGGTGGACCGCAGGTGATCCCGTCTGGCCGCCGGTCCATGTTCATCTCCATCGGTGGCACGGTACGCGCTCTCCTCTCTCGTACCCTTCAATCCCTCTGCCCCCCACCTCCCTACCAGATCCGGCGGCCTACGGCAGCAATTTGGTCCTCCAGACGCTGCGCAAGTCGTGATTTTTTCTCTCTTAGCTGAGCCCAAAAGAATTCGAGAAATCTTGGAGCTTTCGCCTAACTGGGATTGAAAAAGAAAAAGAATTGTGCAGTTGGCAACTAGCAACGCCTAGCGTGTGTTTGTACGGGGATTGTTTTTATATTTTTGTGGGAGGCACCAGTAAAATTTTCAACAGTCCTATCGGCTCTGCCGCGCCAACAGTTCAACAGGAACACATAAAATCATCTGTATGACCGATGATTAAACCATGTCTATCTAGCGGCTAGACAGTGCACGACTATGTGACCCACCATCTCGTTGTCATGGAGGCAGACATAAACATGCCGAGGTGTGAAGTTACAATCCATCCCGGCGATCTGAGGACTAAAGTCTTACTGGAAAGCCAACCAAGCAAAAAATCACACTTGGCAAAGTAGCTTATAATGGTCAGAGATGTGAAGCTTCCAAGTGTTCCAAAGCAGATGAACCTCGAGCAGTGTCAATGTCCCCCCTCCAGTCCATCTATGATTGCTGAAAGCCTCATGAACTGTGTGATTAGTAATGACTTGGATATGGTTGTCATTGTATAATCCCACACTGTGATGATGTGCTGCTTCATTTTTCTGAATGCCCATTAATATTTGTTCTTGCATATGGCAGCCTAAACCTACGACTGCGGCGGCTCAGGAGGAGCTGAAAATGCAGTTCCAGAAAAAGAAAGAAGAGTTGTTCGATGTGCTGGTGGAGTTGTCAAGGACACGCACGTACCCAAGTCTCTCCTGGGAGGCCTTCCAGGTTAATCAGCTCGCCGCTCGACTTGTTGGGAAGGTGGAGCCTAGGCCTGGTGACTACTACTGGTATAGTGTCTCTCAAACATTCGGTTTATCTTTTTCTTTTGTTCTGTTTATACTACTCCCTCCGTTCCAAATTACTCGTTGTTTGAACTAAAATCACGACGAAACGACAAGTAATTTGGAACGGAGAGAGTGGTAGATAATTGCCCGGACGAAGCCTTCTACCTGGCAGGAGAAGGAACCTTACATCTTTACTTTAACTACTCCCTCCGTCTCATAATATAAGAGCGTTTTGAGATTTATCAAGAGTTTGTCTCTTGTCATCACTTGCAGGCGCAGTTATCGACTACAAGGCAGACTCAACACCTTCTTGGTTTCATACTTGTTTCTGCATTTTGTATATATGGAACACTTCTGGATACCCAAGAAGCAGAGAGAAGATGGCGCCACAAGCAACAACAGTGAAGCCAAGATCCTTCCCGACAGCGACGAGAACCAAATAAGGACATGAACTAGCACCATTTAAGTAAAAAAAAATAGTACTAAGACGTCTTGGTTAAATGTATCATAGTTATTAGATTGTTTCCGTTGTTTGATATAAAGGTACTTTGTTCTCAACCGAACCGACCTGGGTTAGATGGTGAAGAATTCTGCAATTCTAGTTCTGTTTTTCATCTACTGAAGTTTTAGTTTAAAATCTCTATTCCTAATGAAGCAGTTGGTGAATAGTCTCCACGGTTTATTTTTGCTATTTTTTTCGTATCTCCTCCCACCACCCCCTCCCATCCTGGTCTATTGGTTTATTTTTCTCTTCACTCTTTATTACAATCAGGACTTTCCTAACGTCTAACAAATCACGGATCTAACTTCCTTAAATTATTCATATCAATCGATTCCTTTTATTGGTTCAATTTGTCTTAGGAAACAAATAACAAATTTTTAAGAAACAAATAATAGATTTGAATCTAACTTTCCTAACTTATCTAGATCAATCGATTTCTCTCATTAGTGAAATTTATTTTAGGAAACAAATAACAGACACGTCACAAACTTTCCTCCCAATAAATAGTTTCTTAACATTTGTAAACTTACCTAATCAAACACGTCACAAACGGGCAGGTACATATATCATGTTACCAAACAATAAAACTCATTTGCATAGAAATCAGTTCAAAATCCTAACTTTCCTAAATTTTTACCTTTCTTTGATAACATCCAATATTTACTATGTTTTCCACCTATTGAAGAAATCACCCCTCCATCGATATTAGCAAATTTTTTTGGAATGAGATCTTTGGGTTATGATTTTTTTTGCGATTTTTTCCAATTGTGACCTCTCCTTCCGCTCCGGCTCCGTCTCGCATAATCACCTCCACCACAGCCAGCTGACGCCACCCTAGACCTCTTGCCTCTCCACACCTTCTCCGCCACCTCCTCCTCGTACTCCATTGACAATCCCCCCGCCACGTTTGTCCACGGCGGTGTCGAGGGCATGGCACAACAGCGTACCAGTGGTAGAGCGGAACATAGCAGCAGGAAGAAGCACGCAGCAGGTGAGGCGAGCGGCCGACGGTGGAGGGCAGAGATGCGGTGAGGGGGTGGCCGGCAGAAGATGGCCGCGACAGGAGGCGGCGCGAGGCAGGGGCGCGATAGCGGGGCGAGCGAAGGGATAGGCGGCAGCAGACGGGGCGAGCGCAACCAGTGAGAGTGTGACGCGCGGTCAGGGTGTGCGTCGCGCGGGGCACAGTGATGCGGTGGTTGTGGCGAGCGTGATGGCAACGGCGGGCACGACGGACACGGTGTGGCACGTGCGTGGGCATGGAGAGCCAAAGAGGGAGTGGCCCCAGGCGCGGAAGAAGAGCTGAAGGCTTGGGCATGGGCGCGCATAGGAGCGGGCATGTGCCACAGGGTCAATCCGAGGAGCTCAGTGGCTACCCCTGCAATGGCCATGGCGGACGGCGGTTCTCCGCCACAGCGAAATACCTAACGAGAGCAAACAAGAGGGGAAACTGGGGAAAGGCAAGAGGAGATCACAGCGGTATCAATGGCACCCTAGGGGAAGACAGGGGAGCTCTTGGCGGCGTGGATTGAACGGCAATGTCGCGGTGGCTGAAGGTTGAGGAAGACAGCAACAACGTCGATCTGGGGTGCTGGACTTGATCTCGTTGGCGCAGACGAAGTAGCGGAGGCATTCGGAGCTCCTTGACAAGCTCCTAGCCAGCAGGGAGGGCAGTGGCCGTGTGGACGGAGTCAGTCATGGTGGCCGTGGCATCTGACTTCGTCTAGATCACCGGGATCGAGCGAGCGAGGAGGAGAAGTGGATTTGGGAAGGGGCGTCGAGGAGGAGTGAGGCCATGGGGGCAGGGGAGGCAGGGCGTCACCTTTATCCATTCCCCTTCGATGCCGGCGAGCACTATAAGAAATATGTCAACTTGTGACCACCACTATTGGTCATTGAAAGGTCATGGTTTTTCATTTGCGACCTTTTTGTGACCAAAAACAGAAGGTCAAAAGCTGGCAGTCGTAAACTGACTATAGCGACCTTCTCTGTGAGAAAGTCGTAGACGTTTACGACCAAAATAGAAGGTCGTTGAACCCATGACCTTTTGTTTTGGTCATTGGCTGTCTGCCCAAGCCACGTCGGATCCGACGTGGCAAAGTTGCGACCAATTGAAAAAGTCATTGATAAGATTCAGCCCGGTCCAATTTGGTGTTTTACATGGCCGAGCCCAATAATTCAGCCCATTTGTTGTTTTTTTCCTATGCTTTGAATAGCTACATGGGCCTGGCCCAACATTCGGCTTTCATGAGCTTCTTCCATTTTTTGGGCCTCATCCTTTTTGCAATCTGTTTCCTTTTTTATTTTCTGAGATTTTATTTTGTTTCATTTTTTAAACGGTCCAGTGCTTGTCATTTTTTAAACGGCCTCAGCCTTCTTCAGCCCAATTATTTGTCCGGTATTAGATCTCAGCCTTTTGGACCAGCCTCTAGCCCAGTTACACACACATACATCCAACATTATTTCATATTCAAATCAGGAAAACACCATATGAAATTCAAATCATCCACCGCATCACATCAGATTTACATAACAAATCATCATAGGAATGCATTTCCTTACACAGGAATATAGAAGGAACAGAGGGAATATGCAATAAGACAATTATGGCACATCCTACAACTTGCCATCCTACAACAAGAAGTATATAACAGGACAGTACAATGGACTTCATTGCTCTCTCTTGTAAGACTTGCTCCAGCTGCGACAACTTGCCATCCTACAACAAGAAGTATATAACAATGAACTTCAAGAACATTACAGCAGCTAAACACCCAATCAACGCGAAGTGCTCAAAAATGCCTTAGCGCATGCATTCAAAATTTAGACACTTGACATAGCCTCATCAAGCATGCAATAAATTTTAGAAAGTAAACGAGGACCAGACTTTACAATTACAGACACATCCATCAATCCATGAGGCAAAATCATGTGAATCCAAAAGGAGAGGCAGGAAGGGATACCAATTTTGATCCAGAGGGGCTACGAGTGTGGCCTTCTTTCGAAAGAGGTTGGCCCTAACGCACCTTGTATCAGAGGCGATGGGAGCTCATAGATTGTCCTGGTCAGTGAGCAGGTCCACGCATCCGGTCATACTGCTAGCATGAGTAACAGGAAAAATGAAAGAAACAATTTAGACTTGGTATTAACGAACAAAGACTGTAATCAATAGCAGATTAAGCGCCAATTTTCTCGGATGCAAGGAGAAGAACGAGCAAAACAGCACAGAGATGTGGGACAATGTTGTACCTGTAGATGATGTTCGCAGCCAAGGAAGACATGGGGCCAGCCTTGCATGTGTGCGTGCTTCACCAGTGCATGCATCACCATAGCAGCCAACCAAGTAGACATCGTCGACATCTACTCACCGCTTTCCTGGCAATGGAGAAAGAGTCAAACAAAAAAATATTAGACCATGATATGACACCAGACCATAGATTAGTAACTTTACATCACAAAGTATATCCACAACACCATAAAATAGTCCCAAACCCGAGTGTTATTTGAGTATATCGCATGTAGTTTATTTTCATAAGTCCAGAAACATGGAAGGGTTCAATACAGTCCTAATATACATCATGCGCATCAGGATAGATCTAACAAACCAGACCATGATCATCATGCGCATCAGGATTTATGGTTCTAGCAAAACAGTAAAGAGATGGACATACACGCTTCAAGCATACCAGCTACTACATCACCATTCTCGTGACCACAGACATCACCATTCACTAATAATTCCCATTGGGAGATCAAACTATGCATCCAACAAGCTACATCAACAGGGAATGCAGAAAAATTATGACCCGAGATGACGAATCAACTGTGTGCATCTCAATTTGAACAACCACGGCGAGACAACAACCGCATACTAATGCGGCAAAATCAATTCTGCACGCAGGAGCAGCACCGTTCGTGGCATCCACATGAGGACGCGCAACATCAAGAACATGGCGCATGACAGCAACATACCTAGAGATCTAGGACGGAGGGAGGGGGGAGCTTACACTTGCGGATGCGGGCGGCCAGGTAACCGCACGAGGAGCAGGTGCTCTTCTGGAGGTGGAAGCTGTGGCGGCCACAACGGATGCAGAATTGAAGAGGGTCCTCATGTAGCAGTAGTAGCAGCAGCATGAAGAATTGAAGACCGACCAACAGAGCCTGCAATGCAAACAGAGAGGCATGAGGAAACTGAATCCAATCATATCAAATCAAATCGAGCTGCTACACCTTGACCTTGAGGAAAACAAACCTCATCTCATGTCATCTTAGGGAAAAGTAAGAAGAAGAAAAATATATGGCTGCTGCTCCATGACCATGACCTTGAATTGTTGTTGCTGCACCAGATCGAGGAAGGAGAAGACCTGCAAAAAAAGCAATAACTAGCAATGCACAAGCATGAATTCATGGAAGGACGGATGCAAGGCCAAACATCCAGCATACTTTTTCTTAATGCCCCAACTACATAAAAAACCATGGTAGTTCTAACCATATTAAATTAAAGGACAAAGTGAAGTCATGATGAATTGATAGTTCCATGTTATAAAGCTTTCTGTTTAGCATATCCTAAATCACGGTCTATCTACCAATATATGAATTCTTTAGTTTTCAGAATGGTGGCTCACATATTTGGGCTGATTTGTACACAGCCAAGAAAAACTTCTTACAAATAAATTCATGGAAGCATATTATCCTTTCAGTCCCTCACCCATATCTCCTAGTAGTATTACAGACAAACTAAATTTTACATAGGGAGGTTCAGATTATCTTCACTGTATTTTTAGTATTTTTTTTACTTGAGACAAACTAAATGATAACATCAATGACAACAAGACTTGAACAGAAATAGCTATTGAAGAAACACGTTTATAAGATAGAATGAAAATGATTTACACCACAACATATAGTTCACATGTACTGGAGCTAGAGACTACAGAACACACATAATCACA